ATCTATTTATGAAGCAGTTTCTGTGGGCCTAGTCTATGGTCCACATCTCTCTAGAAATTAGAGGAGAATGCAGTGAATCTAAACACACACCTCTGTAAGTCACCCACTTTCTTTCTTTCTTTCTTTTTTATTTTTGGCATCGAACTGCTGTTGCTCACAGCTTGCACTCTTGAGCGAGTTCTTAACCAACTGAGCCACTCGGCTGGCCCCCTCAGTCACCTACTTTCAGCATCAGACCTAAATGCACAGCATCCCAGCACCCCAGAGCTGGAAGGGTCTCTGAGTGCAGAAACAGGAAGTCCCAGTGTGTTTACTCTGCCCGATGGTCTCCGATGGAAGAGAAACAGTGTGGAGCAGCAGTGGCATGACTAATATCTCAGACCAAAGGCCACAGCCAATGCTATGCACCCCTACTCCCACAGTCCAACTCCGGGGTCCTAAGCCAGTACCCTTGTGATGGCCCCACGGGGCCTGTGCCTGGGAATGGGAGGCAGCCCAGTGCTATGAAAAGGCCACAAGGTTCAGAGCCAGACAGGCTAAAGTCTGACTCCCGGCTCTGCTGCCCACTTGCCGTGTAACTGGACAAGTGAGGCCTCCTCTCTGAGACTCAGTCTTCTAATCTGAGAAATGGCATTGCTAAAATCCACCCATAGAATAGTCGTCAGAATTAAATAGGGACTGGAGGTCAAGTGGCCCTCATGGGATAGGTGCTGAGTGAAGCGAAGTCCTGAACCTCAGCCCTGGTTTTCCAGCTTCCTGGCTCATGGGGGACGGGCTCACCTGCCCCAGAGTTTGAAGTCCCACCTCACTGAATGCTGCCCCCACCTGCTCAGCCCTCCTGGGACCAGAGATGCTGAAGTGCTCACGGCCTGAACAGGAAGGGCCAGCTGGATGGGAGCGTTCGTATCTCGGCCAGCTCCCCTAACCTGACCACTGGTATCCATTCAGTACAATTCCAGAGTGACTGCAAATTTCAAGAAAGGCAGCTTGTTCTATTATCCCAGAAGCTAGACACAGACCTCCACAAGCCATGCAGGGATCTGATGCCACCAAGGTTTCTGCAAGAGACCAGACAGAAGGCCCAGCCAGTCTTAGTGTTTCCTGCACACAGATGAACAGTGCTAAGCACTGCTGGTGACAGAGAGGGATCACTGTGGTCCCAAGGCCTGCGCACGACTTGTGTCAGAGGCCACTAGGAGAAATTGGAGGAGAAATAAAATTGATCAGGGTGAGCAAAAGCCCCCCACCCCCAAATGCAAGTGTATAAGAACAGAAACTGTAAAAAGGCAGTTTTAGTGAGCAAGAAGCTTGGGTCACTCATTGCCAGAAACGTTGATGTGGAGGCCACATCAATGAAAGTATTGAGTTTAGAATAAGGAGGTGTAAGACCCTATGTACTTGGAACCACAATTTGATCTGCAACAGAAGGGATTCTGACAAATGGAGCTGTTCAGGGATCAAAGGGACCCAAGTGAGGAGGGGACTGGAGACCAGAATATGGCAGGGCTGTGGAGGGGGACCCTGGGGGCCCTGAAGGACTGGCAGGTAGAAGAGTCCACTCTGCACAGCCCTCCAGGGAGGACAACCACTGGGGCCTGATGGCAGCCCCATGAGGAAGCACTTCCTACCAGTTAGAGCTGTTTTGGGGTATGCTGATCTATTTGGGAAAGCGGGGGGTTCCCCATATTGGAGGCCTGCGAGCAAGGAGACATGGCTGTCTACTACAGATGCTATAGAAGCACAGGGGGGTGGACCAGGTGACCCTGGAGTCAGCATCCAGGTTCTCTGATAAGGCTGACCTGAGCCAAGATAGTCTACAGCAGGGAGGAGCCCCAAAGGCTGGGCAACCCTCTGACCTACCTTCTCCCGGCTGCTGTGGGCAGTCAGGGAGCGGTGGGCTGCCCCGCGCAGCGCTGTCCTGTAGTTGCAGAAATTCCCTGTTGGGTCCATCTGGTGCTGGAAGGAGATAGGGACACAGCTGGGCAGTGGTGTCTGCGGATGGCTGGTGTCACCCGGTTGCCCAACAACCTTGCTTACCTCGAGGATGAAAAACTTGGCCGTCTTCACTTTGGCCCAGGTCTTCTTCAGCCTGGAGACAGGACTCATGTTCATGCCAGCTGGAAGAGGGAGGGCCAAGCTGAGGATGGCTGCTCCGGGCTGCACAGTCCCCTCACTCTCTCGGGCAGGAGTTCTCTGTCTTACCCCAGCTGGCCCAGCCCCTCAGGCTGCACCCTGACCAGGACTGAGGTCTGTGGCAGCCCTGGCTGTCAGACGGTAGGTAGACACTGTATTGGGGTGGGCCTGGCTTTTGTGTGTGTTGGTCCCTGTCCTAGTCCCTAGCACACGGGTCCCACACCGTGACCAGGGCCTGCTTGGGGCCCCTGCTCTCCCTCGATCTGGGGACACACTGCCAAGCCCTCACCAAGCACCCTGACGGGGCTGAGCTTGCCTCAAAAGGGGCACCCCCCCAGACCTCTATGGGGGGAACGTGCACCCAGCTGGCACCCACCCCCTGCTCAGAGGAGCGCCCTGGTTTGCACCCTGTGTGCCTGGGAGCCCACATCCATTCCTGCTACTCACAGATGATGGCCATGAGGGAGTTGAAGTTGCCAATGTTGAAGCACTCGCGGGCCACGTCGATGAAGAACTCAATGACCTGGGCCCGCCGCTTCTTCTTGGCCGGCTGGGGACAGAGCACCTGAGCCTCAGTGATGATGGGTCCTTACCCTACCTGACCACACACCCTGCTTACCTGGTCAGTCCCTCCTAGTGGCTGAGATGCATGAGCTGGGTAATCTGCAGCCCAGCTCAGGGTCTCCGAGCACATCCCGGGCAGAACCAGTAAAGCCCACCACCAGGGGGGGCTTAGGCAGGGANGACTCCCTCTACCTGGGAGACCAAGGGGGCTTCTTAGAGGAGGGCACACTGACAGTGGTGAGTGTCCACTCCTCCCTCCATCTGACCACTTCCTCCTGGTGCTCAGGGCCCCTCCTTTGGGAGGCTTCCCTGATCCCTGTGTACTGTGCTCCTGAGCAGCCTGTCACAGTCTGACAACTTTGCCACTTGTCATCATGGGTCTGTGGGGCTTTCTCAGCAATCTGGTGCTCCTCAAGGGTTGAAACTGATTCTGCTTCACCTGTGCTGGACAAGAGGCCCGCATGGAGTGTGTGTGTGTGTGTGTGTGTGGGGTGAGGTAGGGGTGGGGGTGAATGCCTGCATGAGCCTCAGCCTCCTTCTGGGCAGATGTGGGGTGGGGAGGCCCTGATGTTGGTGGTGGACTGTTACACTTGGTCTCGGAGTCCCCGTTAGTCCAGCTCTTCAGGCCCATGCTCCTGCTCTGGGAGCTGTTATGTTCTGACTAACTTGGTGGCACACTCCCTGGGCCCTGGACCCTACCTCAAAGTTGATGTGTCCATTGGGGAGACGGTTGGCACAGCCCTCGTTCAGGAAGTAGATGTCTTTGATGAGCAGGCTGAAGAAGGGAATGACGATCTGGAAGGGACAGGGTGTAGGTCAGCCTTTGTCAGCAGCCACTTGCCCCAAGGACCTCAGATGCATCCTCAGGTAGCAGAGGGCAGGGAAGGCTTCCTGGGCACAGCTGTCCGGCCTCAGCTTTGGCCTTGGGGCTGCATGGGGTATAGGCTACTTAGTGTGCCATGATAGGGGCAGCGTGGAAACCAGAGAAAGGAGGCACAGGCCCCTTTTCCTTGGGTCCAGACTGTTTCCACCCAGGCCCCACTAGGCCCCAGTGCCGACTGAGCTCCTACTATATACAATGCCATTCTCTCCCATGGTGGGACCAGGTGAAAGTCTCAATACCCCTTGAACATTTCTTCCATCTCCTGCTTGGAGGAACAGCGCGTGCTGAGCAGACATTAAATACTTATGGATTGGTAGTCATCTGCTGTGAAATTTTGTGACCTTCTTTTTAATACACGTGTATTTAACAATTCAGTCTATCTTGATACTACAGGTCTAATCTTGCGGCACGATGGTGAGGCCCAGTGTATGCCCACTCTGGTTCCTGAGGTCAGGGTGATGAGCTCAGCCTGTGAAAGGTGGTGGGGTGGGGGGTGTCTCTGTGCTTCACTGTCTGATGTCTTCCTTCTCCCTCTCTGCTCTGCCAACCCCTAGAGAACTGAGACCACTGCTGACAGCTCAGGCCACGCTGGGGAACTAGCTGGCTCCACCCTGCTGTTTGGGTTGATGTCCTAAACCCCAGTGCCTGTGAGTGGAACCTTATTTGGACATAGTCTTCTCAGATGGGATTAAGTTAAGATAAGGTCATACTGGATATGCTGGCTTCTTGTAAAGAGAGAAAAATTTGGACACACACAGGAACAATGGCCATGTGAACATGGAGACAGAGATGGGAGTGATGTGGCCACTGGCCAAGGAATTCCTGAAGCCACCAGAAGCTGGATCAGGCCAGGAAGGGCCCTCTCTAGAGCCTGGGGAGGGAGCACAGCCCTGTCCACCCTGATTATGGCCTCCAGCACTGGGAGAGGACACATTTCTATTCTCAGCTGCCCAGCTTGTGTGCTTTGTTACATCAGCCCCAGGAGCCTAACATACCTGCTCTGCCTTCAGGCTCCAGAGCTGGGCGTGTGCTGCCAGTTTAGCTTATCATCCTGGGACCGGGCACCAGACCCTGACATTTCTGGCTCAGGGAGTGCTGAGGTCACCCCCTATCCAAGTTGACAAGGGCTTTGAGGAGAGGACCTGCATGCTGACCACTCTGCAGAGCACAGTAGCACGGATGGCTCAGCTAGGCAGGGCAGATGAGGAAACTGAGGCCCACGGAATGGCAGGGCCTGGCCCAAGGTCACCAGCTAGTGACCATCAGGGTCAGGACCAGAGCCAGATTTAGCAGGGAGACCAACCACCTGGTTTGCCTGAGACTGAGGGCTTTCCTGGGATGCAGGACTTTTGGTTGTAAAACTGGGGCAGTCCCAGGGAAACTGGTCATCCTAGATTTATGTCAATTCCACAGCATTCGCTCAGGTCTTCTCTGTGCCAGGTGCCAGGTCTTGGGGGACAGTGAGGGTGTGCCAGACACATTCATCTCTGACCCCAGTGTAGCAGGAGAGTCTTGGGAACAACTATAGACTGAGTTGTTGCTATCCTTAGGCTCCCAAAAGGCCCTCCACTTATNGCGGGGCTCCCCAGAAGCTGATGACTGGGGGACTGATGGAGTCCCTGGGCCCCGCTGGGGCCCCAGGTACCCCACCTCCTCCCCCCACCCCGTCTTGGCACAGACTCACCTGAGAGTTTTCCACCTCTCTTTTTCTGTGTGGTTCTCTGGGCTCTCACTTTCATAAGAAGCCAAATAAAGACCTAGTCAGAAAATGAAGTGAAATTACACAATTATGGTCGATGATAATAACCTGCTTTACACTCAGAGTCTGACCTGCTTTTTGTTTTAAAATTAAACTTGTGGTTGCGAGAGAGTTCACATGCATTTGTGAGAAATAACACAGAGATCTGTGTACCCTTTACCCAGTTCCTCCCAATGGCAGCCACTCACAAAATGGTAGGACAGGTTGCCACCGGGCACCGGGATGTTGGCGCTGACACAGTCAAGACACAGAACGTCCCTCACCACAGGACCCCTCATAGCCTCACCCACTTTCCTCCCATTTCCACCCCTTTCTTCACCCGGGGCAACCACTAACCTGTTCTCCATGTCTATGTTTTGTCATTTCAAGGATATGATATAAATGGAATCAAACAGTATGTAGCCTTTTGGGACTGGCTCTTGTCACTCAGAGGAATTGTCTGGAGATTCACCTGTGATGTGGTGTCAAGCTTCACTCCCATGTGCTGCTGAAAAGTGTTCCATGGTGTTGGTGCACCACCGTTTGTTTAGCCTTTCACCCACTGATGGGCGTCTGGGTGGTACCCAATGTTTGGCTATAACAAATTAAGCTGTTATAAACATCGGTGCATGGGGTTTTTGTTTGTTTGTTTGTTTTCTTAAAGATTTTTTATTGGGGAATTGGGGAAGGTGAACAGACAAGTTGCTGTCCTTTTGTTCTTCAGTCTAGTTGTGGAGGACATCGCTTCACTGGCCCATGTTGGTATTATCATTGCGCTTTTCCCGGCTGAGGCAGATTGGTCGCAGGCCTCTGGACGGCCGCTCACGGAGGCTTTTGGCAGCTCATGCTGGCTGCCGGCTGCTCACACTGGCTGCTGGCCACTCACGGTAGCTTATGGCAGCTCACTGCAGCAGGGGCTGCAGCCTA